AGTTCTCCACAAGACTTCAAATAAAACTCCTCGACGAGTGATCCAATAAAAACTTAAAATTCGACATACATCCAAGTAACACTCTAGCACCCCATCTGCTTGTCAAAAACTATATCAACACAAATCAAAACAATAGCAACACTCTTGGATGATTCCTTAATTGAAATTCGAGAATAACGTTTATATAAAAACTGTAAGTTGTAATTTTCCATGAGGTGTTTCTCTCTTGTGGCACTCAACTTATGAAAATGCCACAAAACACCCGAAAAAGGGCTTCTATTGTTGGGTTTTGTAACCTTCAAAGGCCTAGAGAGCTTGTAAAAATGATATGTTAGTGGAACATGCGCTTTAGTGGGTGTGTGTGTGTTGCCTGACCAAGGGTTGAGTAGTTTATGGCTCTGGTCATGTCCAAAACCCTTAGCACTAGGCATGTGGCACAACTGAAAAGAATTTGTAGTGGGTCATCCCTTGCAGAGGTCGGAAGATGCCCAAGGATCCTGTTTGTAGGCTAAGAGAATGGTGTGGTCTCCTGTATGCGGTTGTAAGCCAGTGAGATCAAGGGCCAAAGCGTCAACAAACTTCCACATAATATGTATACATGACAGCCGCATAGGAACCTGCCCTATAGAGGGACAGTAGTAGATTATGGTTTCTGGGGCGTGTGCAATGCCCTTAGTGTCGCTAATTTTGACCCATTAGTAGCAGTCCACTCATAATATATTTTATTTTAGTATTAGAAATATTTTACGATTTTAAAATATTCTTTCAAAATTTTAAAATATTATTTCCAAGTGTAATTTCAATCAAAGGGTTATTTATGAAAATTTCATAACTTTAAATAACACCTGTGGGACTAAGGATTCAACCCCACATGTTGTTTTGTTTTTAAGTGTGGTGACCACGTGGCACCCCCTAGTGGGACACGCACCAATTTTTTTAGAACAATTATGGCCACACCGCGTTTTAAGGAAATAGGGGGGGCACGTCATTTTTTGCGAAACAAGGGGGGCACACCCCATTTTTTTAATAAAGTTTCTGTTTATTTTGGCACGCCACCTTTCAAGGAGAAGTAGGCACGCCACCTTTCAAGGAGAAGTGGGCACGCCACTTCATAGGGAAAGGGGGCATGCCCCACTTTCTTAATTTTTTGTTCTATTTTAAAATATTAAAATATGTATATCTACTTCAAATTAGATTTGATTTAGGTAAATCTAATTCAAATTAGATTTGGTTTCCTATCCTTATGAGAGATTTAGAAATCTAGATAATCTTTAGGGAAAATTACATAAAAATCCGTTATACTTTGCGTTATTAAGGAAACACCAAATAGTTTTCGTTATTACATGTATGTCTGTTTTTTACCTTTTATAACGCAATTTCCTATTTTCTGATGTGAACATCCGAAATTAAGGGATTTTCGGATGTTCAACATCCGAAAATACCCTGATAGTTAAATAAACCTTCGTCTTCTCTGTTTTCGGATGTTGAACATGCGAAAATCTCTTAAATTTGGATGTTTAACATCTGAAAACGTCATACTTAACATTAAACTATCGGGGTATTTTCAGATGTTGAACATCCAAAAATTCCTTAATTTCGGATGTTCAGCATCCGAAACTAGGAAATTTAACGCTTAACTTTAGGCCTATTTTCGGATGATGAACATCCGAAAATCCCACCAATTCGGATGTTCTACATCCGAAAAAGGGTAAAGTGGTCTTTTTTAAAAAATTAAGTTATAAAAGGTAAAAAACGAACATACATGTAATAACGGAAACTATTTGGTATATCAGCAATAATGAAAAATATAACGAATTTTTATGTAATTTTCTCTAATCTTTAAGTTTGATTATATTTCAAATTTAAATGAAAGATCTAGATAAAATCTAAGTTTGATCATATTTCAATTTTAAATAGGAGTTGGAGTTGGGACAAAGTCTTAGGGGATAAGATTCTTCTGACATCCTTCCACTCAAATCATAATGGTTGATTTTTGAGATTGATGGCTCTGACTAAATCTCTCTCACCCCGCAGATTTTCTATTTATCCTAAAGGTCCAACTGGAAACTGGATAAGACAATACAGAGAAGAAATCATATTTAAACTAGGTGATAGATTTCTTTCTATATAAAGATCTAATTGGAACCCTCTCTTCCATTAACAAGATTTTTCTCTCTCCCCCAAGACAACAACCCCACCCCCTCTCTCATGCCATGTTGCTCTCTCTCTCCATCACTCCCTATTTCTCTCTCTCCCTCTTAAAGACCATGTGACCCTCTCTTTTGCCTTAGAGAAAGTTACGCCACCCTCTCATTCTCTCTCTTTTTTGAGTAGCTTCCATAAAGAAAGAAAATAAAAAGGGAACAAGGGTGGGACTGTCAAACCCTAAGAGAGGTTTATTGTATGTTGAAGAAAGGAGGGAGAAGCCCAGCCTAGAGAGAGATCAACTCACATATTCAGCCCTAATTTGTTAGGGTTTCTATAAACCCTAGTTTATTTTTGAGCTCTTTAAAATCATAGAGAAAGAAGTATTGTCTATAAAGCCTCCCTATCTCAGAATTTCCAGCAACACCTTAAGAAGCAAAAGTGCGCCATTGGTCAGGGAATCGGGTGTGGAGTGTACCAAGTCCTTGTAGGCTAGCTCCAAGCATCGTATAGTAAGTCTTACCAGTAGTTTGAAATTAGTTTACAATATTATTTCTTATTTTCTGTAAATTTTCAGGAACTTATTTCGTGCTAAAAATTAAAGTGGAAGTTATTTTAAAGCTCTTGGATAGTTTCTATTTCTTTTGACGCTAAAAATACAATCCTAGGTTTGTATCTAGGGCATTATTTTCATTTTACAACAATATATTGTGGCCCATGTAAGTGTGTTTTAGGTATTTGAAATAAAAGTAAAAGAAAATTTTTGAATTTAATACCTTGACGTCACATAGCAATACCTTTCACCTATGAGGTACAATAATAGAAATCACACTAACAGACAATTTTCAAGATTGCCCACAATAATATTTATCGAAAGAGTAACCAACATTTTGCAAACTTTGTCACTGTCAGATCTATTCTTACTTAAATAACTCCTTAGTACCATCAAGCACTGTTTTTATAACAAGTCATACAGAGAGTTAAAACCAAGTCCTACTACCATTCTAGAACTAAATATAATATAGGCTTTACCAAGAACTTTTACGGTTGAATCATGTGAATTGCTACCACAAAGTCCTCTTGCACTTGGTTTGGCCTAGAAGGCTTTACCAACTAAATGTATGCAGAAAAGATAAGGACATACACACTCCTCATTCATGGGTCAGCATTGAGCGAAACACTTCACCCGGTAAACTCCAAGTATGTACTAAAGGGCCCATATGAAATGGACGCCTGCCTTACGGGCCACACTCTAAGAACTTCACGTGATGACCTCTCTGAGGCTAAAGATGGACATCTTCATTGAAAACCTGTGGTACAAGTCTGCAACCAAACTAGTCAAAGCGCCATCCACTAGCAATTTAGGACTAGCATTATATCTTCAACGACATCATAATTTGACAATAAGATTTGACAACATAAGTAGGACTTGGACATGTTTAAAGGGAAATAACCATTCTATGAATGATTGATGGTGTAAACAAGTTTGCAAACTTTTAATCTTTAAGGGAATACCCTTTTGACTTGGGATAGTATACATTACCATATTTTAAATTGACTTTACCATCTAGCTGTATTTAATTTTTGTCCTTTAAAAATTTTCATATTGGAACAAGGATTCTTTGTAGTCAAGAGCCCAGGTGTTGACTCCAATTCTAGGGAGGCTAGAGAAATTGGAGGTGTCATTGAGAACAAAAGATTACTAAAGAATGAGAGTTTAGAACCTTGGTTGTAGAAGGTAAAAAGCCAGTTCTTTTTGGCTTTCTTTGTGATCCAATCAATCAAGCAAACAAAACCCCCCTAAACGACATTTTTGGCTTTCTTTGTGATCCAATCAACCAAAAGAAAAGATTAGGTGGAATTTTTTTCATTGGATTTCTTCGATTTGTGCATTTGTTGATACTTGGTTATTGATTTGTACCTCTTGGGTGTTGATTTGAGGAAGTTTAGGTCAACTTGTAACAACAAATCGAGGGTTTCAAAGGCCATGAAGAAATCGATGCTTGCTTCAAGAACCATGAATTGTCTTTTCCTTTTGCTATAATACTTTTTTGGGGGGTAATGTCTTCTTCCCAATCTTCTAGTAATAAGGATCTCGCTTGGAAATATGCCAAACTTAAAATTCGAAAGAACGAAATTTTCATGCGTATTCCCTATCTGGGTGGAGTTTGATGTCGAACAAAAAACTCTAAAACTGGTTGGGATTTTTTTTTTTGTCAAAAGTGGTTGTTGGGCCCTTTTAATATGTCGCACCTCTGTCATGAGTTGTAAGACTCATTTTTTAGCGAGATCTCTTTTATGGATGGTCTTAGATCTCCAGGTGGAATGCAATCAAGTAGAGCTTTTGTTTGCTCTTTGTGGTAATCAGCGAGGGTTTCTTTTGGGTATGTTTTGACTGTATAAATGGCTGATATCTCAAATATCAATGATTTAGAGCACTCTTCTACCACCACTAATACTCAGGATGTAAACTTTCATATATTAGTATCCACATAAAAACACTAGACTGCAAATAACTATTATTAAACTTCAGGGAATCAATTATTTAGAATGGCCACAGTTAAAATGCTTATTGGTGATAAAGGGAAGTTGGGAAACTCAATGGTAAAATTGTCGAACATGACAAGACATATCCTTCGTATGAAAAGTGGGAGACTGAAAACTTGATAGATAGAGATTCAGGGGATAAGGTTCAAAGACTCAAGGGATAAGGTTCCCAGATTCCCTCCTAAATTATGATGACGTTTCATGGGATGAATGGCTCAGATTTAACTCTCTCAATTCACAAATCACCTAAAATCCTAATGGCAATGTCCAAAAATTCATAGGCGAGTGCCTAGGCATTTTGGGGGCCTTGCCGCCTAGGCGTCCTCCCAGGAATAGGGGATCCCCCCCCCAACCCCAAAACAAACCCCCACCCTAAAACAAAAAGGACAAGGGAGTTCTTAGGGCAGGGTTTAGGCCTTGGGGGGTTTTTAAGGCAATTTTTGAGCCCCAAACCCCTTGTGAAAAAGAGAAAACATAATATTACAGTCACAAAACACGTTTACGGATACAAAGACTCAAAGAGATTGTAAGACATCAAAATGCTCGAAATCCCAAATATCGTTGTAGAAAACTAGAAGTCTAGAAATAATATACAAAGTCAACAGGCAAAAACAAAAACAAATACATGTGACATGTCACCACCCTAATTCTCTAATGTCAACCAAACAACTCTATGGCATCACCACGCAGGGTGTTTAAGTGGATCCAAAGGAGCATCAGATGATGATAATGCCATGTCATCATCATCAGAGGCCCTCCTCAACATATTGAGTGTCATCCCTCATCTCCTCCGAATATGCTTCTTCTTGTTCATCCTCCTCTCTTGATCTCATTACCCTCTTCCTCTTCTTCGCCATTGCCTTCCCTTGCTTGGCCCTCTCCTTCCCCTTCCTTTGGCTTTGAGATTGAGCCCAAGTAGTACGCACAAGGGGCATTGCCATCCGAACAGCCTCACAAACCTGGCCTCAGGTCAAGCCTTCTCCAGGGAATACCTCATCATCACCGGCATAAACTAGCCACTCACGTGTCATCAATATCAACAGCTTCAATAGCTTCCCTTTCATTGTGCTCCTGCTATCAATGGCGCTCTTGCAACTTCTGATCATACTGAACAAAGACTAGGTCGTTCAATCACTTATGCTCTAGTCTGTTCCTCTTCGTTGTATGCACCTAATGGAGAAAAAGCTCACTCAGTTACTAACTTACCATGTAACTATGTCAATAACTATTAACTAAATACATACTAAATTAACTATTAAGTATTAAATAAATAAGTAATATTATCATTTTAAAGGCGTCGAAGTTCCGCTCACATCCAGACGAGTTGCAAGTCAAATTAAGTATTTTCATGGCCATCTACCGCAAATGAGGGGTGCTTCCCCCATGGACCTATTTCATACAAATGTGAATGTAGTAATTTAGTAAATTAGGTATCTCGGTAATTGAAATTAAATACTCAAATCACATAATAAAATTGAAGAAGTTTTAAACTTACCAAAAAGGATCTTAGACCACTGCCTGACTGCCACATCCTTAACAAACCCAGTAGCGAGCCTATACAAATCTAGCTCCATCATTACCTTATCCTTCACTTCAGGATAAAGGTTGGGCTTTAAATTGCATAGGTTGAATGCATCCATGAACTCAGGCCTGCTATGTAACTCAAGATATGTGTAGAAGTGAGGAAGGTTAATGCAGTATCCTGCTGAGTGTAGGGGCCTCTCAAGCTGGTAGTTTCATTTATCTTCAAATAATCTTCAAACAATCCTCATACTTCTTTTCATCATGCCCAAAAATTTTGTTGATTTCTTCCTTTGCATCCTACATCGCTTTATAGATATACCCCATAGCTGGTTTCTACTCAGCATCAACCATCTTGAGAACCTTTACCAAAGGGCAAAAGTCGTACAAGGCATATTGGACCTTGTTCCAATATCTGGAGTCCATAACAATATCCATAACAACTTTTTCAACAACGTACCTAGACCACTTGAACTTGGTCCAATCCTCAGATACAAACATGGACCTCAACTTTTTCGTCTGCTCATATAAAGATTACAAGGGTAAGTAGGAGGTGGCAAATCTAGTCACCCCAGGCCTCACCAAGTCTCTGTCATTGGTAAATTTCTTCATCATGGCTAAGACCTGACCAACACAAAATTTCCCAAGTAAATTACCCTCAACAACTCAATGCATTAAAAAGACTCAAAATACATAACAAAGAACTAAAGAAGCATAATAACATAAACATAGTACTGTATACTATAAATTAGGTTATTACCTGAGTGTGACTGTATAAATAAACTTTGACATTCTTCACCTTTTGGATGGTTGTCTTGAATGTTTTCTTCTTACCAATGGCCTCAAGAATAAGGTCTATGCAGTATGTTACACAAGGGGACCACAAAATAAGCGACCTATCAATAACCTAACGGCCGTCAAAATTAGCTAGGAACATATCAATCACTACTTGGACCACTTGCTCGTCCCCTATCTCCTTTAGGCATTGGTCCACCAAATTAAAAATGAATTTTGCATCAAAGGACTTGTCAGAAGCATCAATAAACCTCAAGAACATTATCCTTAATGGACAATTCACCATCAAATTTATAATGCTTATGCTCCTCTTATCACTCCAACTATCAATTATGACTGTGCAACCATATACACCTCACACATCCCAGTGGGTCCTCAAATAGTTATTCGTTAGCTCCACTTCGTTATTAAGTAATGACCCTTTAAGCTCATAAGCAGATGGAGCCTTAAAACCTAGCCCAAACTGGCTAACTGCTTCCAACATAATCTGGAAGCTACTCAAGTTAGCAGCATTAAAAGAAATGCCAGCTTGGAAGAACCACCTGGCCACATATTGGGCCACCTTATCTCTATCTTCTTTTTTAAAATAGGTCTTTAAACTTGTTTGACCCTTTTCTTGTGGAAGAATCTCAAGCTCAGGGCGAAGGAAGAACGCATACATATGACCTCTTCTTTTCGGCCTACTAGAAGATCCAACCTCAGTATAAACGCCTTCTTCCTCTCCTTGAACGCCAAAAATGTCTACACTCTTTAAAACATAATGGCTTTTTCTCACCTCCTCTCTCTTGCTTTTCACCGCCTCCAAGTGCTCTATCATCTCTCTCCTAGAATCAGCTGGCACTAGAGTGCATAGGGCCACATCCCCTCTAATGCTAGCCAAAGGTTTTTCAATTTGATGATGCCAACAGTAGATGATTTTTTACAAAATTTGCACTCTACCCTATTCTTGTCAAGCGGATTTGGATAAGATCCATACTTCCAACCAAGATCACCTGGCCTGCTTGATCCACTCGAAGTCATTGTCACAGAAACACAATAAAGTGCTCTGGAAACCCAGCTACTACCATCTTGACCCAAGCCTGAATCCTTCAATGTGAATTAGAATCACCTAATCAAGGACAAACCTGTAAAATACACAAGATTAAAGTATTAACTATTAAGAAAAAACATAAGAACAATATTTTAGTTTTAAATAAAGATATAAAAAAAATGCAAGTAGTCAACAACATTAAAAAAGAAATTTACAATGAGATGTAAAATAAACTCATATGCATATAATCATAAACAATATGAAACAAAAAAAAAAAACAAATAATATGAAATAAAAATCCCAATGTGAAACAATGAGTATATGATATCAAACAAAAAATAATAATCATATATAACTTCACATAATAATGATAAAACAAAATTATTAATTTATCAAAAAAGGTAAAACAAAACATGTCGAACATCAAAACATCACACATCTATAACAAAAGAATCAATTATTCAAAAAATAATTTGATATAGACCAGATTTCATCGTCCAAATGAGGAAATAACCAATTAATCACAAAAAATTCAATCTTTCAACTATAAACATGTAAATATATCATAAAAGGAAAAAAAAAAAGTAAAAGAAAAAACCAAATGATTCACAACAAAATACATTAACAAAAAAATCAAAACCTTTATTCAAATATGATAATGCTCTAAAAAATATCAAAAAGACGTCGGCCCAAATCTCGTCTATTGGGTCGCCAAAAGTCCCAAAAATCGACCACTAGAAGCTCTAAAAACAAGCACAAAGTAATGCCTTTGATTTCAAAAGAATCACAAAAATCAAAAATTTATCGAAAGATCAATAAATCCCATATTTTAAGGTTTTTAGGGAGGGTTCATCTCTCTAGAAGCCACAGATTAGGTTGTGGGGTTTCAAAAAGCCCCCCAAAGATATATTACTTTATTGACTTTGGCGAGGGCGTTTTTCTGCCGCATTGACTATAGGGAAGCCCATATGCAATACCAAAATAATGAAAGAAGAATGAGTTGTTCGCCCTTTAGATAAAGTATAGGTAGCATGAGATGTCCATATGCAATACCAAAATAATGAAAGAAGAATGAGTTGTTCGCCCTTTAGATAAAGTATAGGTAGCATGAGATGTTCGCCTTTACTTAAGAAATAGCCTTCGCGATAGTGCATTGTCTAAGGGCATGGAGACACTATTTGCTAGGGTCAGTTTTGTGGCGAAGATGGATAACGTGGCAACCAGTTCTTGACTTAGAAGAAACTGACTCCCAAGAAGGCACACTGGCAAGACTTGCCGAGTTTGATATGGTGTACGAGTATAACCCTGGGATATCCATTGTAAATATCAAAGATGATCTGATTCTTCCATAGTTAACACGGAGAGTCAATACCATCGCAAATATCAAATATGATCTTATTTTGAATTTCAATATCTAATTCACTCAAAGAGTCATCATTGTTAATATCAAAGATGATATGATTTTAAATATCTAGTTCACTCAATCTTGGGCACAACTCCAACCTCATTAAGGGATCACCCCACATCGAAACTTTTATCGATGTGTGCTCACACAATGCCCAAGACTATGGATTTGAATCATCACCTTTGAGCCATAACCAATCAAAGCTCAAATGAGTCTTGGCACTAGCAAGGCCTCATAGTCTAAAGTGGACCACCCTCCCACTACAACCAACATTTCACTATAGTGTTTTTAGACATGCTCTCATAAGGCCTGTAAATGGCCATATAACCCCAACATCTCCCACTTGGCCTTTGAAGGCCTTACAATCTCTCTTCCTCACTTTCTCTGAGCCCCATCCCAGGTACATGTTTGGCAAACACATTCGCCACCAAACCCTGGGTCAAAGGGTCTCCAAGCATGGCCTTTGTGGGAACATATGCGACCACTATATCACCAAGTCCGTGAAGTGGCAATAGTGTGCTTTGATTTCTTGTGAAATTGTGGCGCTTAAGTTACATGGATTGCAGATTGGTTGTTGCAGAAGATTCTCACACACGAACTCATAAGCTCGAACATGAGCAGATTGAGAAACTTCTTCATCTATACAGCCTCCTTAGCTGCCAAACAACATGCCACTCATTCGTATTCCATGGTTGATAGGGCTATGACGTCCTGCTTCTTGGACTTCCAAGAAATTGCCCCACTACCTAGCATGAAGATATAAACAGATGTCGATTTCATGTCATCAGAGTCTCCTTGATAATCAACATCTGAGTACCCCTGTATGACTATGTCCGACCTGCCTCCATATGTGAAGACATAATCCGCGACCCCTCTCAAATATGTAAGTACTTCCTTAACCCCTTACCAATGCTCCAATCCAGGATTGCATTGGAAATGGCTAATAACACACATGGAAAATGACAAGTCCAACCTTGTACTTGACATGACGTACATGAGTGACCTCATTGCGCTGCATTAGGGCACGGCACTCTCTCCATGGTTTTCTCCCAACCTCATCCTTATCACTCAGGCACATTTGCAGGCTTAACTTGGTCTTTTGTCTATATGGTTAGATATGGGCCTACATGGCCTACATTTGTCCATTTCAAATTTTTCTAACACCCCTGCTTGTGAAAGTTAAATGGTTTTACTTTGCATGTTTCTTGTTATCTTTATGCCTAACACATATGATCCTTCCCCTAAGTCTTTCATATCGAAGTGTTGTGAAAGGAAATCCTAAGTCTACTTTACTAAAGCCATCGAGCTACTAACAATCAACACATCAACCATATACAATGAGATAAAGATCACATCACTCCCACTTGCCTTGGAATAAATGAAGTAATCCTCTTGACTAGAGATAAAACATGCTTTAGAAAAGATCTCTTGGATTTTTATGTACCACTATCGCGGAGTTTGCTTAAGGCCATAAAGGGATTTTCTAAGCCAACAAACCAAGTCCTCTTTTCCTTTTTCTATGAAGCCCTCAAGTTGTTTCATGTAAATTTCTTCTTCAAGCTCCCCATTTAGAAAGGTTGTTTTTACATCCATTTAGTGGAGCTCAAAGTCAAAGTGGGCTACTATGGCTATCAAGATCCTAAAATGGACGGGAATTTAGAAACTAAAGAAAAGGTTCATTGTAGTCTACCCCTTCTTTTTGGGTGAACCCTTTGGCTACAAATCTAGCTTTGTATTTTTTAAGTTTTCCTCAGAGTTTAATTTTTTTTGAACACCCACTAGCATCCTATAGGTTTTCGGTCACGAGGTAGACGCACTAATTCCCAATTCCATTTTGAATAATGAAGTGGTATTCTTCACTCATGTCTTTATCCCATTGGTTTCTTTCAAGACTGGATAAGGCTTCTTTATAGGTTGCAGGCTCATTATCAGATTCATCACCAATTCTCTCGCAATGTTTCTCCAGGTAAGTGAAGAACTCAAGTGGTCCAGTGATTCGGTTGCTTCTCCTAAGGGTTTGTTGTTCAGCGTCTTGAGTCTCAACCCTATCACTAGTCATCTCAAAGAGATCGACCTTCTTGTTACTGCATCTTGCTTCGAGAAACGCATCCTCGAAGAAGTGAGCATCCTTACTCTCTAGGACTGCCCTATTCTCTAGGTTGAAGAAACGATAGCCCTTACGATGGTCTAATTCCTCTAAAGATGCACTTGACAGTTTTGGGATCAAGCTTGGTTATGGGATGAGAACAATGGCAGAGCATCCCCACATCTTTAAATGGTCAAGGGGCAGACAATGACCAATGAATAATTCATATGGAGTAAGCGGGGCTGCCTTAGTAGGAGAGCAGTTGAGGATAAACCACACCGCCAAAACTTGCTTCTCCCCAGAATGATAGTGAAAGCTTTATGTGCCCCATCATACTTCGCACCATCTCTACCAAGGTCTTATTTTGTCTCTGGCTATACCATTTTGTTGTAGTGTATAGGACATGCTAAATTTAGAGATTATGTCATACTCAACACACACTTCTTTAAAGAGTTGTGAGGAATACTCGCCACCCGTATCGTTGGTTTGGTTCTCTACCTTGGCTTTATAATCTTTAAAATTATCTAGGACTTCAGACTTGGAAGGTAGCAAATAAATGTCGCCATAAAATGAGTGGTCACCTATGAAAGTGACAAAATATTTCATGTGGCCACATTCATGGGACCGCATATATCACTGTGGATGACTTCAAGAATATCAGAGGCTATTTGAGCTTTCGTAGCAAGTTTCCTTGCCAATTTTCCTTGCACACAGGATTTGCATACTCTAGATAAGTTGTCATACCTCAAGTATTACAATACTAACATTCCTGAAGTGTGACAGTCTATTCTTAATGTATAAATAGAACAAATCTGAAATTTCTATTATATATATTGCACATAACTGATTTTTCATTCCGGAATTTTCAAATTTGTACAAAGTCTACTCACAGCTTATAATAACATGAAGGTCTATATATATACAATTTTGATAAAACAAAAGTTACAAAGGCAAATTTAGCCGTGACTACAAACTTCTCCAAAGCTACTCTTGTTGTACATTCAAACAATAAGGCTGCAATTATTCTGAAAAGAATTCACAATAGTTTGATGAGTTTAGCTACTCAGTAAGTGACCATCATAATCCTCAAAAATCCTAATTGAAAAAATATAGTTATTTTCTAAGGAATGCATATTGGAACAATATGAGAAAGAGCATATATGGAGAACTGTTCAAATTCTTTAACAAAAATACACAATTTAACATAATCCAAAGATTTCACAAATAACCTATCGGTGTCCCAAGTAGGTCACCTATATATCCCACCAACGTCCTTGATGGGTCCACATAATCCCCACCGGCGTACCAGATAAGTCCACTCATATCTCACCGACGTACCGGATGAGTTCACATAATCCCTACCGGCATACCAGGTAGGTCCACTCATATCTCACCGGTGTCTGGATGAGTCTATATCTCTTAGTTCTCTTTCTCTCTCTCATAACAAT